AAATACCCCTTTGGTAAAAAAAAGTTAATGGAAAAAAATCCATTCAAACTTCTATCAACTAAGCTCGGAAGCCAAAGAAACGTCTAACAGTTAAGCTTGACAGCCAAAGAAACTTCCAACAAAGAAGCCCGACTGTGAAAGCAAATGTCTAATGCCTAAGCTTGAAAGCCAAGGAAACGTCGAAATGCAAATCCCGACTCTGAAAAGAAACGTCTAAATGAGAAGGGGTAACACATTTAAAACTTTTACACTGCAAGCTTATCATGCAACTAAACGTCTGAATGGGAAGCTTGTGATAACCTGAAACGTCCAAAGGCTAAGCTTGCCAGCCAGGCAAATGTCCAACTTGGAAGTTTTACTGTGTAAACAAACGTCCAAAAGCTCTGCTTATAAGGTAGGCAAACGTCTAACATGGAAGCTTCACTGTCAAAACAAACGTCCAGAAGTAAAGCTTGGAAGTCAAGTAAACATCTAACTGGAAAGCCCGACTCTGAAGAGAAACGTCTAAATGAGAAGGTGCAACACATTTAAAACTTTTAAATTTCAAGCTTATTATGCCGCTAAATGTCTAACAGAAAAGCCTGAGGCCAAATTAAACTTCCAAGAGTTAAGCTCTAAATTATACTAAGAATAGTTATGAATGGATCTCACTTAGGCCATTAATCCAACAGAAAAGACCTCGTTCTTTAGTGAATCAAAGTAGAGGTGTATATTTTTTAGCGCATCAAAGTAGATGTATTATATGCACGTTCAATTTTATATTTTATGAGTTTAGAGTAGTAATCATGGCCATGGATCAGTCCAGTCCAGCCCGCCAATTCGACTCGAACTAGCCCAGAACCGAGCTCGTAGTTTGACTAGGTCGGTTCTGGGCCTCATGTATAAAAAATTTTGGTCCAGGCCGACCTTCGAGATGGCCCACCATATTTTCTTTTGGACCGTGTCTCAGTTCAGTTTTGACCTACTAATAATAATAGAAATTACATTTATGTCCTAGTAAAAGTATTTTACTAACTTTTATCTAAATTATTATTTTTATATATCTTATTTTTCTTCACTTTTACCAAAATCCATATATTCATTAATCTCGCCCTTCCTCTTCATTAAAAATTAACTAACCAATCTCTACATTATTCTTCATATATGAATGGCAAGATTAGCTATATAGTCAACTGAAGGGTAGTTAAATTGTTACTATGAACACACTATCATTTTTTTTTTTTGTTTTTTTGTTTTTGTTAACAGGAAATAGTAAAGACTGACTGGAAATAGTCAACTGGATGAGATACTTGCTAGCTTTTATTTTCTTAAAGCGGGTCTGCCCGTTACATTTGATGTCCAAAAACCGATACCGACAAAAATAACTGGAAATTATGAACATATAATCGAAAATGACCGATTTTCAGATAAAAACCGACTCTAAATTTTAGCTAACACTAAATTTGTGCAACTAAAATCGAAAAGTTAAAATTTAAATAAAATATAATATTATTTTTTCTTAAAATAATATTTATTTAACCTTTCATACCATTTTAATTATAATACAAAATAAGACTAAGAAAAATATCAACAAATTTAAGTAAGTTTAAATAAAAAAAGAAAAGAAAAAGAAATATTGGCGGGTCGGCCTGGACTCGGCCCGCCGGCCAAAGGCCCAAAACTGGTCAGGTCAAACTATGGCCATGACGACGGGCCGGTTCTAGGTCAATTCGGTCACAGAGAGTCCAACCGGCGAGCTGGTCCATTCTTTGACCATACTATTATTCCTAACCCGTAAAATATAAACATGTGCGTACATGAGGTCCCAAGTGAGGTTCAGTTCTGGGCCTGTTAACCATTGGTCACTTTAAGACCGATTCGATCGATTCACGTCGAACTGGCGGGCTAGGCCATCCCGTCGGCATGACTAGTACTCTTAACCTGTAAGATATAAACAGGAACGTGTATAGCGTACATCTACATTGATTCACTAAAAAGTGATGTTCATTTTGTTGGATCAGTATTCTATGTGAGATCCATTCACAACTATTATAATTAGTTATAAACTAATAAGATATTAATTATATTTCATAACTAATTTTTGACCATCGGATATCAATGGTCATATTTGATAACTAAATTATATTTCCAACTGTTAGATTTGAAAATTTGACCTGATCCAACAGTCATATTTTATAATTTGTCTGTGGGCCAACCGTGTGGAAATGGCGAGCCGGGTAGAAATTGAACCCAAACTTGAACCGCATAATCGAATTTAAAATAAAAAAAATCTAGTAGTTGGATCTTCAACGGTCAAAAGCTTTTACCGACCCAGATCAACAGATTAAAAAAAAAAAGGTAAACATGGCGAGCCGTATCGAGGGTCGGCCTGGACCTGGCGCACCTGGTGAAAAATATTTACACGCGAGTCCAAAATTGTCCCGGTCAAAAACTCCAGACTCAGTTCTGGGTCGGTTGACCACGGGCCGATTTAGGGCCGATTCAATCGATTCGGGTCGAACTGACGGGTGGGGCCATCCGAACGTCGTGACTAGTATGATGAACCCGTAAGATATAAACAAGAACGTGCATACAAAAACCTCTACTTTGATTCGCTAAAAAGTGAGGTTCATTTTATTAGATCAATAGTCTAAGTGAGGTCCATTCACAACTATCATAATTATCAATAGACTAATAGGATATTAAAAATATTTCATAACTAAATCTTGACCAACAGTCAAAAGCTTTCAACAATCCAGATTAGTGGGTTGCCAACGGTCCAATATTAGGCCACGGGTCGGCTTGACTCGGTCAACAGATTAAAAAAAAGAAAAATATGGCGGGCTGTCCCGAGAACCAACCTAGACCCAGTCCACTGAGTCAAAATTTTTTATACATGAGGCTCTGAATCGGCCTAGTCAAACTACGAGCTCGGTTTTGTCATTATTAAATATGATTACGATGTTATTATTAAAATTATATTAAAAATAAATGTATCTTATAAAATAACAATTTTATATCATTTTAAAGATTTGTTGCATGGGTTGATGTTATGTTGATTATTATATGATTTGGAAAAGTAGTGGGGGTGATATGTGGAAAAAAATTAAATTATTGAGGAAACATTCACGTTGGACGTTTCTGGATACATTACGCTTTCCTTAAAGAAGTTTGTTATTGTCCTAAGTTTAACTATCAGACGTTCCATAAGTACTTAAGCTTCCTGTTGGGACGTTTATTTGACTTTCACGCTTAGTTCTATGTTGGACGTTTGCTTGGCTACCAAGCATAGCTTCTGAACGTTTGCTTTCATAGGCAAGCTTCAATCAAGAACGTTCAGTATGGTATAAAGCTCAACTCTGGAACGTTTCACATGACCTACAAGCTTTCCATTTAGATGTTTGCTTGACTTCCAAGCTTTGCAATTGGACGTTTGTTTTCACAGTGAAGCTTCCATAATAGACGTTTTTCTACCTTATAAGCTTAGCTTGTGGACGTTTGTTTACACATTAGAGCTTCCTTGTTGGACGTTTTCTCTGCCTTACAAGCTTAGCTTCTGGACCTTTCAAATGGGCTCAAGCTTACCATTTAGACGTTTAGCGGCATAACAAGCTTGCAACGTAAAAGTTTTAAATGTGTTGCCCCTTTTCATTTAAACGTTTCTCTTCAGAGTCGAGCTTCGTGTTTGGACGTTTCTATGGCTTCAAGCCCATAGACGTTTGTCTTCACAGTCGATCTTCTTTGCTGAACGTTTCTTTGACTTCCAAACTTAATTAATAGACGTTTGAATGTATTTTTTTTCATTAACTTTTTTTACAACAAAGATATTTTTGTAAATTTATTATTTTTTATTATTTTTTTCGGGCGACAAATAGTAATTTGGGGCGACTAGCAATCCTGTTTTTAAATGACTACCTAATTATATTTAGGGTAAATTGCACTTTTGGTACCCAAACTAAAGCTCATTTTGGAATCAGTACCCGTTTTGCAACATTTGCAAAATCAGTACCCAAACTTCCCTTCCGTTAGCAACGTTAGTACCCGGTCGTTAAATCTCCGTTAAATCGCCGTTAGTTGTTAACGGAAGTTGGCAAAACGGAGGAAATTTTTCTTTTTTTTTTTGGCTCATGATGAAATCTATATAAATAAGACATTTGTACCATTTTTTGCCAAAAAAAACGCAACCTCTACTATTTATAAAATTTTTTTTTGGATAAAATCGATTTTCTTTTTGAAAAAAATATAAGAAATCGAGAAAAATGAGAAGACATAGTTTCTCTTCTATTTCAAGCAGTATATCTTGGAATAATAATTTTTCAATACCAAAAATACAAATTTCCTTCTATTTTGCTAACTTCCGTTAACAACTAACAGCGATTTAACAGAGATTTAACGATCGGGTACTAACGTTGCTAACGGAATGGAAGTTTGGGTACTAATTTTGCAAATGTTGCAAAACGGGTACTGATTCCGAAATGAGCTTTAGTTTGGGTACCAAAAGTGCAATTTACCCTTATATTTAAATTTTTATATGCTTAAAAAACATTGATGGTTGGTTAAAAAAAAAAAAGAATAAGAACAATATGGAAGACGAAATCATGGAATAATATATTAGATTGATCGACTACAAAAATGATGTTATAAGAAATTATGGTAATTACGACACCTAGTTAATATTGGATATGGCAACCGAGTTTGATTATGTGTTAATCCAACATATAGAACTGTGCCACTGCCACATAAGATCCCAACTCTTAAGATTATGTCATTTAAGCTCAACACTTACAAAAATTATACATAGTGGATGTGCAAATACCAAAGATAAAACTACAAGCTGCTACAATTTTTTTACACTTTAAAACTGCAATTCTTTTTATTTTCAGAGTAAGATCAAATATGATTACAATATACTAGTAAAATTGGCACACACATTCAAACATGTTATACATAAACATTGAAATACGTCCATATACTTCACCAGGTGAATAGAAGTGCATCAACTATATTACCTTAGTAACTTATTACCAGATCAAACCTTTTCTTCTCCTGAATCTGTCCACGCGGTCTGTGCTCATTCTAGATTTTTCAGGCTTGCTCGACTTCTTAGACTTATCAAGTCGGCTATCCAAGCTGTTTCTGGAAATTTCAGGGGGATCTGGTCGCAGCTCAAAGCCATCCGTGGAATTGCTTTCGGCAGATTTATTATCAACGTTAGAAGTTAGTGATGCTGGTCCAGAACCACTGACAGCTGGCCTTGTTTTTCCAAGAGCCAGAACAAATTTCTTAAGATGTTTAATGAACTCAGGGTAGAGTTCAAGATTGCAATGTCCACCTCCACTTATCCATAGAGGTTCGTATTTCACTTTACACAGCTCCCATAGCTGCTTACCGTGGGAGCAATCGACAACTTCATCTGCCGTACCCTGGATATGGAACTCAATATTCAGTAGTCATTAACCTAAATGAGGGGAAAAAAAATAAAAACTACAATCATTCATCTCCTAGACGTATAGAAGCTATTTTAATTTGCAATTTTGATCTTTTTCTTTTTACTTTTTTTTTTTTGCCTCCAACTTTCTCTTCTATTGGTGCCTACAACTTTCTGCCCTCTTCCTAATCGTTTTCGGATTTTCTTTACTTTTAATTCTTCAAGAATTGCTCCTTTTCCAGTTCTTGCTTCAGATTATAAGATTTTTCATAAGCTTACAGTCAGTGAAACTTGTTACTTGATGTAATCTGCTCCTGCAACCTTCTATGAGTGGAATGAAAAATAAGATGATACACTAAAGAGTACTTACAGAGAAAAGCAATTTATAAAGTGCCTTATGTTTGAAACATCACAATGTATGAGTAATCTTCAGCTGTTTCAAATAGATTCATGAAATTCATAGGTAGAGAAATTGGCCAAAAAAAATGTAATAGCAAATTGAAGAATAATGAAAAACAAGAGGAACTTGAGAATGAGGACCGAGTTCCTAACAGAATAAGGGCAAGAAGGAAAAGAAGAGGAGCAAGTCAGATAAGGGTGACGTAAATAGTTAACTGGCTAGATGCCAGTGCCATTGGTGAAATTGGAAAAGCTGTTGGGTTTCGCATCCTGCTAAAAATTATTTACTTTAAATTTTTTGACACTCAATAATAGGCCTCTTAGATGAAGCACGTCTTTTCTTGCATAAAATTGTAAATGTCACACTAACGATAGTGGTGTCATTGACCATTTGACTTTTGCCATACTCAGAAAAAAAGGTCCATACAAAAGCCTCTGATTCCAGAGTGAGGGCCTGCATAACATCTCAATTACGATTCAAATGAAATGCAGTGGTTGAGAAATCGTCTCCTAGATTACAGAAAAAGTTACTCTTGCTGCCCACACCAAACACCCATGATAAACTAAGTTTTTTTTTTTTTTTTCTAAAGAACACTACCATTACAGTTAACATTACCATATGATACGTGAACAATCAACAAAAAAACAGTCAAAGTAACAGGTATAAACATCCAAGTAGTAATCATATATCCACATATTTGCTAAATCACATAAAGAAAACCAAAAACTTTCAGATCTCGCAAAGCTTATGAAAGATATAAAATAAGACGGCAGAGCTTTCGATATGTTGGTGGTGACATTTTTGTGGTTCCAACTTGGAATATTTAGGGTGGCACTTACTCTTATTCTGAGGGCTATTACTCACCAACAATTTTTTTCCCATTTGAACTTAAACATTTTGTTTAAACTACGAACCTTAAAGCTCTGAACCAAAACTTACTGAAATCTCATAAGTAATTACAGCTAACAAGATGTTCGAAGTTCAATCACGCTCTTTAGGGTAATATTGTCTATAGAAGAAATGAGGAACAGAAAGAGAACTTACGTGAATAACTAGAACAGGACAGTTCACTTCACCAATTTTGTCAATATTCTGTGGAAAAGAAAAAACTAATTCACAGTAGTAGGGGAGCCACCATGAAAATTTGGAATAGACTATAAATCTGAAGCACGATAAATTACTACCTTGTAAATATCAAACCAAAATGTCCTTTTCACAGGATATAGAACTCTCAACCCAGATAAAATTGGGCTATGTAACACAACACCTCTCAAGTTCGGCACTCGTGATGCAAGATCGATGGTGGGACCACTACCAACAGACTGACCATATAGTATTAGTTGTTCATCTTTAACACCATACTTCTCCACAAGGCATTTATACACAGCATCAATGTCTGCGTATGTATTACATTCAGTTGGCTGTTTCAAAGAAAAAGAATGGCTTGTATCATATGATAACAGGAAGTAATGATTTAAGCACATATACGGGAAGCATGGGATAAACAATTCACAGCTATGTATAGGATACTTATATAGAACAAAGTGAAGAAAGATGTTACGCAATTCCCATGTTTGCTTATTACAGCCCATGCAACAATCTGAAGTTACCAGCTATATTCTTCTATTATTCAGGTTGTATCATTTCTTTAGAAGAAACAATTTATGAGTTAAAGAAACTAGTACATGTACAAAGTTAGTTCCATAGATTTTTGGTGGTAGGAAGTCATGAACTATATCTGCCCAAATCTGCAAGCTACTTAAATACGTAATACTAGAACAATTTCACAATGTCCCAGGAAAAGAAAGCATCTAATACCTTAATATGTTACAATTATTTTGAGTACAAATTGAAACAAATCTAAGTTTGTTGTGTTCCAGAATGAAATCAAGATGTGGCAACTCTTAAAAAACAGGCAAACTTATGCTAGTGTTCATTTTTTACTTCTGCGAGCATTTTTGCATCTAGAAACAGAGACATGAAGAGCAATGATCACTATTGAAGGTTTAATGGCACATTTACTAACTACATCCAGTGTTTTCCCAATAATTTATGTTTTTTGTGCACTATGAAATAAGGATTATTATTTGAAGATCATGAAAATCATGCTTGACTATAAAGAATGTGACAATATCATCCAGTAGCCTTTTCACAATCCAAGTAACATCTAAATATAAGGACCACACCAGGGAGATGCCAGCTCATCAAGCCGAAAACGTTCATACGCGCTACAGTCGCGTTAGCGTTTTCCCTTACTAGTCAAGGGGCTGCTAGTGTCACTTGTTGATTGATTAACAATCTCTAGAAATGATCTACACGAGAATACATGTGATACTCCGTAGGAAAAGATCTAGTTCTGAGGAACACCTATAAATTCTATGAAATATAGCAAAAAGAAGGGGAAAATGTCATGAGAGCAGTGGTTACACAGCATATGACACATTCTTGATAGTTGTTGTGTTTCTTGAGCTCCACACTTTAACTTATTAAAGCAGCTACATAAAAATCCAGTTGTAATATAAATATGGAATGCTCATATATCATCTATAACATGTGTTAAACGCCATAAAAATGTTTTATTAAACAAAGCTGAATAGAAACCTTTGACAATCTGAATTTAGCCTGCTGATGAGGCAATCACTGGACAAGTAATGTTATTTTGTGGTAATACAGTGCTATATTGAACAAGAACCTCTATCCCAAAAACGACTTCTTCTCTGGAATAATCAAACCAGATTGAAAGTGTTTCAAATAAAAATTATCATTCATCATCCTAATTCCTAATGCAAATATATGATTAGTTACATAAAATACATGTCATTTACTAATTCAGTAGATCTAACCGTAGCAAACACGGATACTGTAAGCCACAAGAATGGATAACACTGTGCAGTTACAAGGAAACATCCTTCATATCAATTATCGTGAAGCAAACGAAGAAACTGAATAAAGGAGAAGGAAAATATCCAACAGAAAAGAGCAATAATAGAGAATAGCAAAGTTACAAAATCTTATGATCACGACACGTCCTTCAGACTGCTTCAGATAAAGCACTTCACTAATTAACAATTCTGAAAGTTAAAACAACAGCAAAACTGTCAGCGAAAAGACTGCTAGATTAGGCAACTAACCTTTCCAGAAGACTGTCCATAGCCCGAGTAGTCATACCTGTAGAGAAAAATGAATGACAATGAAAATTCCATAATTGTCCATATAGAATAGTCAGATACTACTTCCAACCATTTCAAAATGATGCATAACAGTGAAGTTCAAGGAAGAATGGCCACGTCCTGAGGAAAGACTGACTAGCAAAGAACTTTAAGTCACACTAACACATATGAGTCAGGTGCTTTAAAGAAACTAACCAGAGGTGATATAACATACCCATAAGGGCAAAATTCATGACACGCCAGATGTATGGTGCACTGGTGAATAAAACATAGAACACCTTGGATGATAGATATTCACAATGTGTACTTAGCCAAACCTAAGGCCTACATGAGTCATAAATCCTCATTAAATTAAAGAGCCCAATACATTGGACATCTCCCTCTACATTCTAATCATTGCCAAATTTATAACTAAACCTCTTAAAACTTTACCTGAAATTTATAATTGCTTGGAGAATGGATGTTAGGCAATTCTGATAATACAATCAGAATGCTAATATTTCTTTTTCTTGTAACACAAGAATACTAATGTTATTTTGACAAATGTAATGAATGACAAGTGCTTGGTTTCTAACTTCATAAAGCATTCTTCTTTTGAATAATTCTTTCCGAACAAACTTATGGTGCGTTCAAATTCATTCTAGCAGTTGCTTGTTTACTCGTCCCAATTTCTCAGGACATGGAAGGCAGCACACTGTCTTCACAGGTTCAC